TTAATGGTTGGATTTGATGATCTTAGTGGTTTTTCCACCCCAAACGGTTCTGTGATTCCACCTTCCACTTATCCTACAGCCGGAGCTCCAGGCCGGTTCTCTCTCCCAGCTGAGCCCAGGCAGGGACAGGTTCCACTGCCGCAGGGGGTGAGGACAGAGTAGCCTAGGCACAAAATAGGTCATAACCTTAGGAACCCGGGTCTTTAGGAGATCTTAAAGGTGGCTTGGGAAATAGCACCTGTGTGTCTGCACTGAAGCTTTTCCTGAGTCCAGGTCTTTGTGCCATTTGTTTTTCTTTCTCCTTTAGGTGGGAATCTAAGGATCAATAAGGTAAAACAGCTCCAGAACCACAACTCCCTCAGTTTGTTCTTGTCAGCATTTGGTTTTCATTTTCCCATAGGACGGATATATTGACTTCATGGAATATGTGGCTGCCCTCAGCCTCGTTCTCCGTGGGAAGATGGAGCAGAAACTGCGGTGGTATTTCAAGCTCTACGATGTAGATGGCAACGGCTGCATTGATCGACACGAATTGCTCAACATCATTAAGGTCAGTCTCTAGGGGTCTCTGTTCTTTCCTCTTTCCTTAAAGACAAGCTCTGCCACGCAGTGAAACTGTCACTGTTCTCCATATGGATGGTCATGGATGAGACCTGCTTTAACAGCATCCTTTCTTTTAGCAGAATTCCCCGCAGTCTCATCGTCCAGTCACAGACTGGAGCTGACTCCATACAGCTGTTTGAGCTGCATAGGACCTAAACTACACTTTCCAAGATTTCTGTCCATTCCAATCTCTGCAATGTGTCCTTTCTATGTCCTTTTCCCCTGCAAATAGTAGCTGGAGGCTTACTCCCAGTTTGCTTTGTAGAACCAGCTCCCAAATGCCAGTGACCCTATGAAACGGTGTGGAGGAGAATGGCTGCCAGTGGAGGGAACTGTGTGCAGGTTGCTGTTGTAAAAGGTGTGGGAATTGCAGGCACAAACACGACCTTGCGAGTACCACAGAGGGAATTCTGCTGGAATTTCCAATGATTCTGTAGAGGTTTGGAAACTAGAAAGACGCAGGAAAGATTCAGTGACCTAGACTAATTTACATTTCTGAATGAGAAGGGACAGAAAATGGGTTTGGTGAAGATTTGAAGCCTGAGCTGTCCGCATGTAGACCTGTGAGTAGGATGTTCGTAAGATCGTAATCACATCGTAAACACCTGGATGTGATTTTAGTGCTGGGCTCTGAAGAGACCAAAGCAAATCCGTAACTGTAATAGTACACAGCCTCCTACTAGCAGCTCACAGTAGAACTGCTCAGACACCACAGTGAGTAACAAACCACGAAGCTCTTGAGTTGAGTCCTGGGGGCCATAATTGGTGGCAGCCAATTTACTGCCCCATGGATTCTGCGAGTGCAGTTCACGGTGGGTTTTGGCAGCCTCAGACGGTTGCTGGGGTGACACCAACTTTTACTTGAGTGACATTTGGAAAAGACTGAGAAACTACCCGAAGGTCAGAAGGTAAAAACTAGGCCATTACTTGTCTTGGAATCACTGTGGAGGCTCCAGGATCAATATTTCATGGAAATCCTTAAAGTAAGAGACAATTAGGCATGAAGAGAGGAAAGAACCCTGTTCTGTGTGGTGATGGGTAAGTGAATCGTAGTGAACATCATTGAATAAAGCTTCAAGTTTCTCAAGCTGAAACTGCATTTCTGGTGAGCTTAGGGGAAGCAGGACACACAGAACATTTATTCATGTAAACAGGGAAAGCAAGCGTAGCAATACATGAGCACAGCAGGTAACAAAGGAACTCTGTCGTGTCACATGCAGAGGGTGTTGGCAGTGTTCATTGGGCTGAGTGGATCGCAGGGATAAATTAGGTGCATCCTGATCCTGCCACCTCAGCAGTGCTTGACCTCTACCTAAGCTGATTTTAAGGTGATCCTTTGGGCTTCACTGCTCGTTCTGTGCTCCCGAAGCACACTCCCACGCTCAGTGCCCAGCAGAAGGCCCAGCAGAAGGATTTCTGCTTGATGTCCTGTGATTCTGTGGTGCCAGGCATGGCCGTCCCATTCCGAACCTACGCGGACACCTGCAGGGGAATCAGTCTGTTGTTTGAGAGCCATTAGGCAGCTCCCTATTCTCTTCCTTTAGGCTATTCGGGCTATTAACGGTGGTGACCACGAAACTAGCGCAGAAGAGTTCACCAACCGCGTCTTCAACAAGATCGATGTGAATGGAGACGGTAAGGTTCCCATCTTTGTCATCCAGCTCCATGGCCTCTGTGCTAGGGGCACGTCCGTGTCTTCCTTTCTTGACTGACCCTCGTGCCTCTTCATTTTGCATTTGCTGGCTGGAGGAATGCTTGTCCAGTAATGCACTCCCCGGGCGTTTTGGTGAGGCATGCTTCTCCTTGCGTCGCACATAATTCACACAACAGGATTTGATCCTGAGACTGTCTCAGCCATGAGAGCTTGGTAGTGGCATTTTGGAGTGGCCATTTTTATCTTTTTGCATGTTGCTGTGTGGCTTCTGGCAGAGTTAGAACTGGGAAATACTAACAGATGGCCCCAGCTGCTCCTAAGTGTTTCAGCAGCAAGGGAAGGAGGAACTGGAATGTAAGGAAGCTCAGAGTTCCCTCAGGGCGTTTGCTGCAGGCAGCACGTGACGCGCTGTGGACCACTCAAAACCTGGTAACACCTTTGTCCCTGAGAGATGTTCCCCCCTTGCTGCTTCCGGTGCTCGTTACCTTCTCCCATGCTCTTTTGTTATGCCAGAGCTCACAAGCTGCTTCTCTGCAAAGGGGCTTTTTGACCTATTACAGAAAACCTGCTGCCTGTCCCGGCTCCCCTCTGTCCCTTCCTGTAAAGCTGCAGGGAGAGGGCAGGTGAGGAGTAGGATGCACAGAGCCAGCTGAGCCAGCCTGGCTGAGAAGAGGCCATGGTCCTGCTCCTTAGCTACGCCTTCTCTGTTCCTTCTGATGTACCTTTTCCCTTGGGTGGGGGGAAAGAAGGGAAGCTGGAGTTTCCTGGATATCAGGGGAATTTCATTGAAGCTTCCAAGGTCTCTCTGAGGCCCCTTTGTACATTGAATCAGTGCTCGTGCAGTCCGTGGTCTCTGCGGTTCCCCTGCTCCTTCTCCCGTTCGGATTGGACTGGTTGTGCATGGAGTGATGGTGCTGTCTCTGTGTTTGGCACAGGTGAGCTTTCTCTGGATGAATTTGTGGAGGGAGCAAGAAAAGATGAGGAGTTCATGGAAGTTATGATGAAAAGCTTGGACCTGTCACACATTGTGGCCATGATCAACAACCGTCGGCACAGTGTGTAAGCCCGGCGGGGAGGAGGCGCTCTGTCAGGAGGTAGAAGGCTGCCCCCGCCTCAGGGGGGAGAGACAGCGCTTTCTAAAACCAGTAGAACTTCCATGAACATGCTGGTGGGAGCCGGAGCAAGAGGACACTGCTCCACTGCGTGTGTGCGCGCCTCTTATCGGCCGGATCCTGAAGCTCAGCCCCCTTCGCGCAGGCCGGGTCAGGAGAACCGGGGCTGGGTGGCAGCATTTCTCTTGATCTACTACAGCATAAAGGCCAAGTTTCGGGGCACAAATTTCCTTCTTACTCTGTGTCCCAACCTGTCACTTGGCAAAGGACAAAGAGTGACGCTGTTTGTGCAGGGCACTAGTGGAGCTGGATGATGGCGTGTGGAGCGCTTCCGGTGTGTACAAAGGGCTTCAGGCTGTTACCGGTGCAGGAAGTACCGGAAGAATCAACCTCCATTGTTCTTGTCACGCCATCAGCTCACAGCCGCCATGGTTTGGCCATGGCAGTTGTGCTTGGATTGGGTGGGCCCTGCAGAAGTAGCTTTGTTCGTAAGGTCTCAAGAGCTGAAAGAAAAACCTCCATCTGTGAGGCTGATGGTGAGAATCTGCTCCCGACTGCACTGCCCATGACACTGCTCCTCCCAGCTTTAGAGACCTCCACAAGCAAGACGGCAGTCTAGGAGCAGCTTCTCCGGCAAAGTGCGCTACTCCCAAAGCAGAGGGGTTACTGAGGTGTCAGGGGTTTTTTGTCCTTATCCTACCACCCTCCTCATACACCTGCATGAGCAAAGGTGATCCTAATGGTGATCCTTCACACTCTGCTGATGGGTCTGTCTTTGTCTTCTGAGGGGAACCTAAGAAGCAAAAGAAACAACTCAGCAAAGTGACTTGTGGTTCCGCTGTCGTGCGAATGCTGCAGCAAAGTGGATGTTCCAGATCGGTGCCACCACAAGCGGCTCCGTGTGTTTGTACGTGACGGGAGGAGCGATGTGGCGTGGGTGGAAACCAAGAGAGCTGGAGTGTCTTGTTCCCTAGCAGGTGAGGTCCCAGTCAGAAGCAGCTTTGCATCTGGAGAGAGAACCAGAAGGTAAGAAGGCAGTGGGAGAAGTTCGGCAGCATGCCTCTGCCACGGCTGGGCATGGCCTTCCTGCGCAGGAGGAAGAACTCGCGGATGTGGAACAGGACCACCTCCGCGTGGACGTGATCACGCTTGTGGCTAAGGTTCCGTGCCGCAGGTGTGTGTGCTGCTCCAGGGTGAGGCTTCCGCCTGGGTTGAGGGAGATGCAGTCAGTATTGCTGCTGGACCTTCAGTGAGCAGTCGTGTTTGAGCAGGTAACAACATTCTGCCGGGCAGGCTCATGTTCCAGGGCTGGCATGGACACGACCGCAGTGTCGGGGCTCCTAAGGGGAGACACAACCTGGCTATTGGCAAACATCCCTCAGCTCTCCTGGGGTTTGTGGTGCGCATGCTCTTGGGGTCTGCCGTCCCGTAGGGCTTGGGAAGGCAGAGAGTGTCCTCAGGACAGTCGGATCTGTCCCATACCTGCTCCAAGTCCTTAGTCCCCTGCAGTTTCATGTAAACCTGCAGTTTTAGTATCATTTGACATTCAGAAAAACACTATTTTTGGTTCTTAGGAAAGTGCTGAATTTCTGTAAGTGCAGCTGATGTATTAAGAAACCTCCAGGAAGCTGCAGCTGCCAGCAGCGTGGCAGTGAGCTGCCGTACACGCTCTACGGAGCCTTCTGGATGCGCAGGCAGAGAAGGGCATGTGCTCGGCACTTTCTCCATAATAACCTGGAATATTTGTGAGCAGAATGTGATTGCATTTTTTAATAGCTGATGCAGAACAGTGGTCCTTCCTTCGCCGAGGTCGCTGCTGGTGCTGAACGTTTCCCAGCTAAGATGCAGTCAGGACATTGGTGACAGCCCGGTACTGAGGTGCAGGTGTGTGTTCAGCTCTTAACATTTCTGTCCCTCTGTCACCGAATGGTTTCCCTGGGTTTTGGCTCTGCCAACCAGCATGGGCTTTGCAAGGCCAACCCTGCAGTGCACATGCCTTTGTCAGAAGCCGTGGGGAGGGCAGCTGGGGGGGAGGCCAGGGAGTCTCCATAACAGGGAGATAATTAGGTGCTGCCCTACTTGTCTATCTTTGTACAGTTAAGGTTAAAACCAAGTGCACGGGCATATCCTGTGATGGCTCCCTTCGATGGAAGGTTTTGGAGGAGGAGAATCTAGAGCTCTGCTTTGGATTCAGCATATCAGAGTTGTCAGATACCTCCAAGGATGGGAACTGCACAGCTCTCTGGGTTAGGGTGAGGGTTTGGAGACAGGAGTTAGGATTAGGGATATGCTTGGGACGTCAGGTGTTGCAGTTATCATTTGGGATTGGGTCAAGGGTTCGGGCTGGGGCTTAACTTCGGGGTCAGGTTTGGACTGGGGCTCAGGTTTGGGTTATTGTGGCAGTTTAAGGGTTAGAATTGAAGTTCAGATTGGGGTTTAGAGGTTTGGGTTGGAGGGGCAGGGGTCAGGTGTTAGGATTATGATTTAGAGAGGGCTAGAATTGGAACTCTGGGGTACAGTTAAGCGCTAGGGGTCAGGTTCATTGCTCAGCTTCACAGGCTTGGGCCTCCCATCTGGAAGCAGAGAGGGCTCTGGAAGCTGTTTACAGGAGTTAGTTGTCCCAGCACTGGCTGGGATTGCAGTCCCCCCATGGAGCTGATGGTGCTGGAGCAGTTCCTGAATGTCCTGTCCATGAGGTTCAGCGCTGCATGGGGTGAGCAGCCCTGGGGCATGCACCACGGCAGTGGCCTGGGCCAAGGAAAGTTTCTGGCTGCAGACAGACAGGTATTTGTGTGGTGAAGGAGGGGTGAAGCCTCCTGTGCTTGCTGTGGTT